TGCAGGGTGTGCCAAGCCATGAAATCGACACGTCAGCGACCAGCTGGGCTGCTGCAACCCCTCGAGCCACCCGAAAGACCGTGGCAACAGGTGACGATGGATTTCGTCACGGGGATGCCAGCTGGGCCGTCCGGCAACGACGCTGTTCTCGTCGTCGTCGATCGCTTCACGAAAATGGCGCACTTCGCACCATGCCGAACGACGATCACAGCCGAAGAAACTGCGCGCCTCTTCATCTCAACGGTCGTGCGACTACACGGCATCCCTTCGGCGATCATCACCGACTGGGACCCGAAATTCACATCCAAGTTTTGGAAGGAGACATGGGCGCAGTACGGCACGAAGCTACGGTTCTCATCGGCATACCACCCATAGACGGACGGACAAACAGAGCGCACCAACCAAACGATGGAGCAGCTGATACGGACAAACTGCCCCGACCCCGCACGATGGGAAGATTCCCTCGCAATGTTGGAATTCGCCTTCAACAACGCACCGTCGAGCACGACTAATCACTCCCCGTTTTTCCTAAATTACGGGATGGATCCGACGGTCCCCACGGCGACTTCGCTCGAAAACCCGGTCCCGAGGTCACAAGCTTTTGTGACGGAACTTCAGCATATACGCGAGAAAGCAGCAGACGCAATTCGCAAGGCGAATATTACTTCCCGCAAATACACCGACCTCCTACGCCGGGAACTCGTCTTGACTACTGGGCAATTAGTGCTCCTCGACACGAAGAACCTGCACCTGCCCGGTCCATCGAAACTACGGCCCCGATTTTGCGGACCGTTCAAGATCATCAAGATGGTGACACCTGTCACCGCGAAGCTGTTGCTACCAGACGACTGGCGCATTCACGACGCCTTCCACGTAAGCCTGCTTCGCAAGTTCGTGCCAGCCACGACCGACATTGCACGTCAGCAAGCTGCCCCGACAGCTCGACCTGTCCCAGAGCCGACACTCGACCCATTGAAAATTCTCGCCCATCGAGTTCGACTTGACGCAGCTGGCCGACACGTGGATTTCCTAATCCGCTGGACTGATCGCACCAGTGAGGACGACACGTGGGTGCCATCCGCCTCTGTCAGAATATTATGCTCTAGCCTGTAGTGGGGTGCTCTATAGCGAGTACAACCCTTCTAGGGTTTGCTATTTGTATCCCCCTTCTTGCTAGTGCAAACCTCTCCTTTGCTTCATTCTCTCTTGCCTAGCTAGGTCAACCCTAGCTATGGCTCCTCATCGTGCTTACTATCTCGACATGCTATCAGAGCAGGACGATCCAGTTGGGTCGATCCTGTGGGTGGGCCCCACCACCTCAGTCTTCCGCTGCTCCTACTACTGTTTGTGTCGCACGCCCCGTGGCGTGCGACGGATTTTTCATCCCGCCGCGCGCACGGGGCGTGCGGCGGTTTTCCTACCCGCCGTGCGCCCCGGACGCGCGGCGGTTTCCTACCGTGGGGGACCCCCGCGCGCCCCCGATTTCCCGTCCCGCTGCCCTGGGGAGCCGCGCGCGACCCCCCGCTGCCCCTATTTCCCGTCGCCCGCGGCCCCCCGTTCCCGTCGCCCGCGGCCCCCCGTTCCCGTCGCCCGCGGCCCCCCGTTCCCGTCGCTCGCGGCCCCCCCGTTCCCGTCACTCGCGACCCCCCGCTGCCCCTTCGCGGCGCCCTAAGGAGCCGCGCGCGGCCCCTCGCTGCCCCGTGGTGGCGTCCTGGGGGCCGCGCGCCGTCCCCCTCGCCGTCCCCCGCGCTCCTTCCCCCGTTCCGCCCGTTTTAGGGTTTGGGGGTGAGGAGTGTGGGGGTGGCGGCTATGGGGGTGTCGGTTGTGAGTTACTCCTCCTGCTCCTCCTCCTCCCTCGTCTCCCTCTGCTACAGCTGCCGCTGAGGGGGGTGGTGTGTGGGAGCCTAGGGTTTGGGGTTTAAGGGGGGTACCGTGGGAGTGGAGCTAGGGTTTGAAGCAGGGGGTGTGTGTCGAGGGGTGTGGGACTGTTGGGGGAGGTTGAGCGGAGGTTGCCGTCGTGTCGTACGCAGCGCCTGTACTCCGGGGCACTCATTCCCGGTAGCTCAGAGAGCCGGTTGCGCCGTCGCCTGTGGGTCCGTTGCTCCTGTCGCGCGTATTAGCCGCGGAGCCTGTTACTCCTGTACTCCGGGGCACTCATTCCCGGTAGCCACGTTGTCGCACCAGAGCCGTCTGTTGCCCGTGTGTCTGCAGCTTCAGTCGTCGCCTCCTAATCTACTCTCCTCTCGCCAGCCCTCCTCCTCCTCACTTACCCTCTGTGACTGCCTCTAGCTTTACTCATAATTGTGAACTTTAAACTATTGCTTCTTGAACTTGTGCTCAGAATGTGTGGTGACATTGTGATCCACCCTGAGCTTGTACTGCTTTGCTTGCTCTGCTGATTACACCCCACTTTGGCTATGGGGGTGTGTCAGAATATTATGCTCTAGCCTGTAGTGGGGTGCTCTATAGCGAGTACAACCCTTCTAGGGTTTGCTATTTGTATCCCCATTCTTGCTAGTGCAAACCTCTCCTTTGCTTCATTCTCTCTTGCCTAGCTAGGTCAACCCTAGCTATGGCTCCTCATCGTGCTTACTATCTCGACAGCCTCGCTCGACGCCTCGCCACTTGTTGGTGATTATTTGGCGCGCAAGCGTGTTTCGGATATTGACCGCCTTTCTTAAGGGGGGGGGTGGTGTAAGGAATTTTCTCGAATTCCTTATCGGGGTTGACTACTGCGCGTACAACCCGATTTTCGGAGTTCGCACGTTCGGGCGATTTCCACGCTGCCGAAGCTCCTCGCGTCGCTTTCGGCATTTCCATCGCCAAACCTGCACCCAACCTCGCTCACCCGAGGTTTCCTCCTAGCTAGGCTAGCCCTACATTAGTCTGTGCATTCATTGTATTCTGAATTGATTCAGTCACAGTCTCGTTATTCGTTTACCTGCGTACTCTCTTTTACAACTCATAACATTAGCGATGACAGCCCCGAACAGCTCGTGTCAGTGTGGTTTGGCCTACACTTTCACACTGGACCTATTCCGAGTCGCCCCGCACCAATCGCAACATTTCCAAGCCTCGCACGTCACGGGTTCTCACCTAGCTAGTTTTCGCCCTATATTTGCTCGCTTTCTTCTTTATTTCCTAGTCTCTTTATAGAGTCTTCCGCGCACTCTGTACAATTCATAACAAGAAGACCCGCGCCCTAAGGGCGGGTCCCTCGCATTCGTTTCGGCAAAATGACACAATTTTTCGAAATTTGCACAGATTGGATAGCAATTCTGTTACGTGCTGGAAACCGAATTTGGTTTTTTTTTTTTTTTTTAATCAGCAAGATACAATTTAAATTACTACCCATGACTGTCCTACGTATTACTTCAAAATATTACAATGTAGCATAATTACGCAAGGAAAAGGAGTGGAAACGGGAAGAGAGGAGAAAAGGAGGAATAACGTGAGTAGAAAAAAGGAGAGAGGAAGAAAGAAGGAGGGGAATAGGGAAGTGATAGGAGGAAGAAAAACAGGGAAGAAGGAAGAAAAAGCAGCACACACAACCCCAAGAAAACCCCAATAGCACACACATTTAAAACACCATCAAGCCCTCCCATCAAAGCACCCCAACTGCACTCCCATCGAACCAAACCTCCCCCCCTAAACCCACTCCCTAAACCCGCATGTCTACCAAGTATGGTGCATCCGCCCACGGAGCATCCCATCCCATCTCCTCCTCAACATCCTCCCGCTCCACCCAAACAGCCTCTGGGCCTCTCATCATCGACGCCGCGCGTAACAAGATCACACGCGCCTGAGCCCGTTGCAAAGCCACACCCACAGCCGCTTTGAGCGATCCGAGCAAATAAGCCGAGAAACCCTTTCCCGTAGCTCGCGCCGCCCCTTTCGTCTTTGCTATCTCGATCTGCGCGTCACCCTGCTTCTTAAGCCACCGTCCAAAACTCCCCCCCAAGCATCCCCATGTCTCAGCAATGAGTGGTGTGAACTGCACTCCCCCATGCCGCTGTAGAAGCGATTTGTAGTCCGCCGTCTTCCGCTTTTCTCTCTCTCTCGCGGCAAAACCCACCTTGCGACCAATCTGTCCATGGTGCTGCGCGGATAGCGGGGGGACATGTCTGTTGAGGGAGACAACTGCTGGGCCCCCGCTAAATTTTGAAATCTGCACAAATTTGGTTTGTAAGGGCGCGTGTCTTTTGGTGTAGACGTTTGTATTTCTGGTTGAACTTTTACTTGTTACCCTTTTCATTAATTTCGTCAAATGTTTCGCGAATACGTCGTGTGTCCATGTACACTATCGGGGCTGATGAAAGCACGAATCCGAGGTTGAACCTTCATCAACGGACATGTTGGCACGAAAATGCAAGCGTGTGTCCAAATGCCCACTGCCAACGATGATGCGAACTCTACGACGCTCGCAGCATCGTGCACACTAGCAACCCCGGCTGTGGACGTGGCACGTACCCAAACCGGGTAACCTACGATAGTAGGTCGCGGCTCGGGGGGGGGGGGCGTAAATGTTCAACTTTTTTGTGTCCTGTGATCCTCGAGAGTGTGGGAGCCGCGACTCGGTTTGCAGATGTTGATAAACTCGAGCCTAGGTCGACCTAGGTTCAAATGTGTAAAGTTCAACCCAAAATCCGAGTTTTGCATATAAAAACCAAAAGACACGCGCCCTAAGGGGACCTGTCCGTTTAGCGTCCCCGCAGTTTGGCGCATTTCTATTTGGGGACACGTTTTAACTCTAGCTAGCTGGTTACCCTACGAAATTCGTTTCTGGTTGCGTAAATCGAGCTGACCTGATATGAAAATGACGCGCCCTAATTCCGTAGCGGTGTCGATGCTGCATCCCAGGTGCTGGTTGCCTCAACCCAACTTTTTGACCGCTTCATCCCGATCAAGGCAACTCCCCCAATGCAGTGCAGCAGCGGCCCGCTTCCTCAGGAGGTTGGCCAGCGGGAAACACGGAGCGAGGTGCGCACGCCGCGCGCAGCATGGCGGTGCAGCGCAGAAACCGGGTGGCGAGAGGAGTGGGGGAATCTCGACAGCAGTGGTGGTTGACATCGACTGCCAAGGGCGGATGCACGGCGGCTCGCTGCGTGGCGTCGCGGGTTCACCACCGCCGCGCATTGCTGCGCGCGCTTCTCTCCCTGCTCGCGCTGCTGTTTGCGCCCTCTCGCCTCGTATCGCTGCGCCAATGCCGCGCGATGGGCGCGGCGACGAGCCCGCAAGTGGCGGAAGATGCAAGGCGACTGTACGAGGCAAGCCCGCAGCTTGCATGACGGCGCGCATCGCTCTCTCATGCGCTCCGCGCTTCGCTTTCTACCAGCGCAGCCAGCACCGCGTAAACCCCTCGCCACCGTGCCACAGCGCGCAGGCAACAACCCCTTCACACCCCTGCTCCATCCCCCGCCCCGTACAGACCCTCCCCCCTTTTCCCATTCCCGCGTCCCCCTTCCCCACTTCCCCGCTTCCCCGCTACCCCCCCAGCAGGAATGGCAGGCAGCGTATGGCCTGACTCCTGAGGCCACCAGCCCGCCCGCACAGGTGGTGCTGCCGCCCTCCGTGGCAGCGGCTCCACCCCGTTCCCCGCCCAGCATAGTCCCTTACCCCTTTTCCTCATCCCCCCTTCCCCGCTCCCCTGCTTTCCCCCCTATCCCCCAGCAGGCATGGCAGGCAGCGTATGGCCTGTCTCCTGACGCCATAAGCCCGCCAGCACAGGTGGTGCTGCCGCCCTCCGTGCCGGCCGCGCCCCACCTGCAGGACTGCACTGCGCGCACGGCGGCGCGGGAAGCGGCGGAGAGCAGGGGGCGAGGGGGGGAGGAGCCGCAGTGGGCGCGAGGGGGCGAGTGCTGCGAGTGTGGCCCGCAGCCCCCGTGGGTGAGTTGCAGGCGGGCGGCCGGGCAGACGGGCAGCCGGGCAAGCGGGTGGAGTGGATGGAGGGAATGGGAGGGATGTATGAGAGCACAGGGCAAGGGGCAGCGAGCGATGGCATGGCCATGCTGTCACCATGCAAAGCTGACACTGCTCCCAAGCCCACTCTTGCCTCTTCCCTCCCCTCCCCCTCTCCCGCCTCTCACCCCTCCCCAACCCCGCATTTTCTTCCCCGCTCTCCACTCCCCACCCCCCCACCTTTTTTCCCCAACCCCCCCCAACCCCCCCCAACCCCACCCCTCCCCCCGTCAATGCCAGGTGACAGGCTCAGACGCAGCAAACCTAGCACTCACACGGGTGGTTTTTGAGGCGCCTCAAAAAAACCACCCCTCCCGCCTCCAATGCCAGGTGTCAGGCTCAGACGCGGCAAACCTAGCGCTCACACGGGTGGCACAGCGGGACCTGTGGCGCGCGCAGTTCCCCGCGTCGTGCGAGGGGCGGCGCCTGCTGGTGGTGGAGTGGGCGTGCCCGTACCACGGCACGGGGTCCATGGTGCACGTGCTCAGCGCTCATATGAGCATGGCCGTCCGCTCCAACCGCACTCTTGTTGTTAGGGAGAAGTCCTTTCACCGCGCCAATAACGAGGCATGCAGAGGTGAGCAAAGGGTTGTGAGGAGGAGGGAGGGGGGTGGGGGAGGGGCGCATGCGATTCCAGGGATGCCATTGGTGAGGTCAACCCGCACGCACAGCAGTTCCGGTGGTGCCCGTACCACGGCACGGGGTCCATGGTGCACGTGCTCAGCGCGCACTTGAGCATGGCCGTCCGCTCCAACCGCACTCTTGTTGTTAGGGAGAAGTCCTTTCACCGTGCTAATAACGAGGCGTGCAAGGGTGAGGCGAGGGGGCTGTGATGATTGAAAGTGCGGAGGAGGGGTTGGGTTGGAGCATGTGATGGGATGGGATCATGGGAGTGATGTCAGTGGGCCAGTCAATCCAATCCACATGCACTGTAGTTGCTATGCATCTGGCTTGCTTGCCCTGTCAGTCGTGCCTGCTCGCGTGGTTTCAAGTGCTTAGGTGCGTGCTTCCGCATGGCTTCTCGTGTTTCTGTATCAACCACGGGTGCTCATGCCGCATTCTCTTGTGAGCCCCTGCGCCCCTCATCTCACTCAAACCGCCCATCCGCCCAACACCCTATGCCATCCCATCCCCTCCTCCCTCCCTTCCCATGCGCCTGCTAGCTAGCCCTGGGGCAGGAGGGCGAGTGGGAGTGCTATTTCTTCCCCATCACCTCCCCCACGTGTCGCCGCATGGCCATGGCAGCACTAGACGCGCTCCCACCCTCACCACCCGTGCCATGGCTGTCGTCCATGGCGCCTGACTGGGAGGCGCTGCTGCTGTCCGACACGCCTGTGCTGGCGTGCAACGACTCTGGCTTCCATGCTGACGTGCTCGCTAATAGGTGAGACACGTTGTCCTCGCCACCACCACCAGTGCTGCTGCTGCTGCCTCTTGTGCAGCTTATGCGTCGATGCGCTCCACTTTCCTGCTTTTGCTGCTGCCCGGCACGCCTGTGCTGCTGGCGTGCAACGACTCTGGCTTCCATGCTGACGTGCTCGCTAGTAGGTGAGGTGAGATGCTACCCTTGCCATTGCCGTCACTGCCACCCAGTGCTGCTCTGCTACTGCCTCTTGTGGTTGGCAGCTTTATGCGTCGATGCACTCCGCTTTTCCGATTTTCTGCTTCTGCTGTTGCTGTTGCTCTTTGTCGCGCCTGTGCTGTGCTGTGCTGGCCTGCAATGGCGCTGCCTTCCATGCCGATGTGCTCCTGCTGCTCCTTTCCATCTTCCCTTCTCACCTCACTTCCTACGCCAAACTTCTCATCCTCACTTCTCAAAACTTCTTCCCATCCTCACTTCTCAAAACTTCTTCCCATCCTCACTTCTCAAAATTCCTTCCCATCCTCACTTCTCAACTTCTCTTCCCATCCTCACCGGTGCCACCCCTGGGAGCAGGTTGTGGGGTCCACCAGCGTTTGAGCGGCCAGTGACTCTAGAGGAGGTCAACCACACGCAAGTACCTGCCAACGACAGAAACGTATGCCGCACAGCACAGCACAGCACACGCATGCATGCATGCTCATTGCTCCTCCCCCTGCCGTGCCCACCACACATGCACTACACAAGCAACTCTATTGCTTCCCCCTTCGCGATCCCGATTCCCAACACCCACCGCCTCGCCTCGCCACAGTTTGAGCTCGTCCAACCAACCGCCGCCACAGCCGCCCCCTTCCACCATTCCCTTCGACATCACCCCGCTTCTTTCTGATCACTCACCCATGCCACCCCCCCACACCACACCCCTCCTCACCCCCTACCCCCCTCCCCTCTCCTTCCCCCCCACCAGTGGGACCTGCTGTTCCTGCAGGCGTTCCGGTGCCCCTAAAACATCCCCACTTCGCCCCCTCTTTCCCAATGACCCCCTGCCATCCCCCCTCTCCCCCCACCTACCTCCCCCACCAGTGGGACCTGCTGTTCCTGCAGGAGTTCCGGTGGTGGCGGGCGCAGGTGACGCGCTTCCTCTTCCGCTGGCCCTCGGCGCACCTCTGCCACTTCATCAACCGCGCCCGCCACGACGCATACGGCCTCTCCGTTGCTCAGCAACTCGCAGCAGCCGCCGCTCAGCAGAGCACCATGCTCCTCGCCTCCCCGCCCGGGAATGGCGGGAGTGGTGGTGGTGGTGGTGGTGGTGGTGGTGGTGGTGCTGGTGCTGTGGGGGTGGCGGCAGGAGGGGAGGGGGTGAGTGAGGGCGAGCGGCAGTATCTAGCATCGGTGGGTGCGGAAGCAGCAGGGGGAGGGGGCTTGGCGCAGGAGTGCTGGCCCATGGCTGGCTTTGCTGCTTGCACCACATGCGGTAGCGCCAGCAGTACCACCAGCAACACCATCTGCAACGGCACAAGCAGCAGTAGCAGCAGCAGCAGTAGCGGCAATACCGGTGATACTGGTGGGGTTGAATGGGGTGCCAAGTTGCACAGTGCGGTGCACGGGGAGCCTTTCATACCGCGGCCGTACCTGAGTGTGCACGTGCGGCTGAGCGACAAGGGCTCTGAGATGGCGCTGCGCTTCTTCCCCTCGTTCCTCTTCTTCGCCTACAAGATCCGCGCCCACGTGCCCAACCTGCACCACGTCTGGCTCTCCACTGAGATGCAGGTGGGGGGCGGGTGAGGGTGCGCGAGGGGAGGTGAGGGGAAGGTGAGGGGAAAGGTCAGGGGATGGTGAGGGGAAAGGTCAGGGGAAGGTGCGGGAAAGGTCAGGGGAAGGTGCGGGGAAAGGTCAGGGGAAGGTGAGGGGAAAGGTCAGGGGAAGGGAGGGGAAAGGTCAGGGGAAGGTGAGGGGAAGGTGAAGGGCGGTTGAGGGGCAGGTGAGGGGCGGGTGAGGGGCGGGTGAGGGGCAGGTGAGGCATCACCGTTCAAATCTTTGGTGGAGCATTAGTATTTGTCTCTACCGTCAGCCCTGGCGGGTGGTGGCTGCCTATGAAGAAGGAGCGCCGAGTGGAAGGAAAGGCACGAGTCCAGAGGGGAAAGGCCCGGCTCTGAGAGGTCCCGGGGCTGTAGGCCGTGTCCCCAGGTGCCACAGTGCTGCATCGCTGTAGCCCGCACGGTACCTTGCATCGCTGTCACGTGCCGTGCCCACGTTTGCTGCTCTCTGCACTCTGCATGCATCTGTCGCTTCCAGTCCCTTGCCTGTTTTCACACCCCGTCCTGCTCTTCATCTCATCGCTCCGCCCCGCATGCGCCATCTTCCTGCCCCATGCTTGCATTACACACATGCCGTGTCTCTTGCTCCACCCACCCCGCTTCCCCCCCCCCCCCCTCCTCTTCCCCTCTTCATCCCTCTCCCTCCACCCCCGGGCTTGCCCATGTAGTTCATAACACACGAGGCCTCTCAGTACCCCGATTGGACCTTCCTCAATCATTACGTCGTCTTCAGTCCCCTCAAACCCTCTTCCCCCCACACAACCCATCTTCCCCTCCGCCCCTTGCGCAATCTCTGCCCTGCCCATGCAGTTCATAATAGAGGACGCCCACAGTACCCCGACAAGACCTTCCTCATTAGTTTCCTCGTCTTCAGTCGCCGCAAACCCCCACCCTTCCCACACGCCCCCCTTCCCTCCCCCCCCTCCAATCCCCAACCTCCCCCGTGCAGTTCATACTAGACGAGGCCTCTCAGTACCCCGACTGGACGTTTCTCTTCACCAACAGCAGCCGCGTGCGGGACGCGCAGGAGATGGCGGACCAGGTGCAGTTCAACCGCCAGCCCCAAATGCCCTTCATCCTCGCCAACCTCGTTATTAGCTCGCAAGCGGATTACTTTGTGGGCGCGCACGCGTCCAACTGGAACCAGCTTATTAACGAGTTGAGACAGACGGGAGGGCGCCTGCATGCGGGGTATCTTGCACTCAATGACGCGTGGTAGATAGGGATGGGGCCTTTTTTCAGCACATGCTGTATTTGTTGCAAAAGGAAAATACTATAGCTTCCATCTAACCACCTTCACTTTGCTTTTCCCCTCATGACTTCACTATACCGGAATCCACTACGGCGAGACGCAGGGTGTAGTTCGCCTTTTCCAAGAATTGGAGGCTGCTTCCCTTGAGTACGTGGCCTACAAAGTAGCACAAATTCGTTCGGCCAACTTCATTGATACTCAAATTATGCCTGACGCGGTTTGCAAGCGTACTCAACCGACAAATTCGCCGTATAGTCAGTACAAATACCTTGCTAAACAATTATAAGCACAAAACTGAAACAAAGTCGCTACCAGCAGGTCCGAACATACCCAACCAAAAAGGGAACATACTAAAACGCTTGGATAACCAAGAAATAATCTGGTGATGTTAACCCTAAATGCGGGATGTCGTCTAGTGTTTAGGTCTATATGCTAAAACAAACAACACCTCCCAGCGAAGCTTGCTACCCGAAAGCCAATTAAAAACAGCCCTCCTACTGAAAGGCATCCAGTAAAGATGACATCAACCCTTAAAACATTGTCGCATTATGTCGTCGACCCTATTCAGTTAAGTTATTCCTAGTCTGCATTTTTTTCCAATGGGTTTTTTATCTTTACGGAATTCGCGCTCGCTTTATGCAAATTTTCTTTGTAAAGGGTTGAGTATTCAATGTTTTTTTGTCTATTGTAAAGTAGCACCTCCACACAATATTGTCTAATTAAGTTTGGTTATCGCGTTTTGTTTCTATGACATTTCGGAGGTGTTTTTAGCCTGAAAAGTGTGATTGAAAAGCGAGAACCAATCAGCGATGAGAAATCGAAGTTGAGTACGCTTGCAAACCGCGTCAGGCATAATTTGAGTATCAATGAAGTTGGCCGCAAATTCGTTCGCTGACGCCTCCTCGAGGAGCAGTTAGCGAGCGCCACGTGTCATAAAAAAGGGCAGTATCCACACGCTGCGAGCCTTGGCACTGCCAACGGGATTCGATGCCCCCGAGACAGGCCCTCCCCCTTTGTTGTGCAACTCGCCCCGTGTACAATCCCAAGAGACAAAATCCCGAGGGGCTGTATGGAACAGTTGCCGTTCCTATAACGAGAGCACTCGCTGCACTGCCACCAGAAACAGATTTCTATGGTGTGGCGGGGACAACCCAGTTTCAGCCTACCAAACCCAACTAAACCGATTTGACGTCTTGGAGCGATGGCGAGCGCCTACACCAGTCGCGTTTGCGTTGCATACACAGGTCTCTTCAACCACCATCTCCCCAGCTCACCATTTTTCAGCCCAGCGATCCGTGCTCCTTGCTTCCACACGCGCTGATTTCTCGCTGTCGGGTCGCATCGCGTAGCATTCTAGCGTCTCTTAGAATCGTCTGCACGCGTATCTATCATCGTCTGAGCCACGATGTCAGCCGCTGCCATGTTGACATCCGCGTCGCTTCACCCTCCCAGCTGCGCGCGGCTATCGAGCTCGCAATCAGGCATCGCGGGTAAAGCAGCCCTGCCGCTGCTAATGCGCGTTCGCTTCAGAAGCACAGCACCCGCGCGATCAACCGCAGTGCGCGCAGGATCGGTGCGCGCGGCGGTGGAGGCGGTGCCGACGCCGGAAACGCCGGAGACGCCGACGGCGGAAGCGAAGAAGTTTCGGCCGGGCGAGAAGAAAGGGTTCATCGAGGAGATGCGGATCCGCGCCATGAAGCTCCACACCAAGTAAGCATTTGAATCCCGCGCACCGAGGTGACTTTAGAGTCGACTCAAAAGGGGTTCATCGAGGAGATGCGCATCCGCGCTATGAAGCACACCAAGTAGGTCGTTGGACCACCGTTGATTCAGACAGCGACCTAGACAGCGACCCACTTAGGCTACCGTGCAGCGCGCACGGTTGATTAGCCTCTCGTTTGTAGCACTTACACTAGCTGCGTACTCGCAGTCAGTAAGCCCCCACGTACCCCGCCGTGTGCTTCCGACTTCCCGCCGCACCTGCGGCCACGCCAATCCCTAACACGCGTCTTCCCCTCCCCACCCAGTCGCGCGATGGCAGGGATCAGGCGAAGGAGGGCGAGGAAAAGACAAAGGAGCGGCCGCTGGCCAAGCGTGAGGCCACCAAAGGAGGGGTTGGTGCAGTTCCTGTCCGTTTGTAAGCTCGCTTGCTCATTACTCTGCTTCCCCCCCCGCTCTTCCCCATGCGCTCGAGGACGACAGGGATCAGGCGAAGGAGGGCGAGGAGGAGACCAAGGAGCGGCCGCTGGCCAAGTGGGAGCCGACAAAGGAGGGGCTCGTGCAGTTCCTGGTGGACAGCAAGGCCGTCTTCGACGCCATGGAAAACGTCGTCCACGATAGCGAGCTCCCCGTCTGTAAGCTCGCTCTCGCTTTCCCTCGAGACAGAGACAGAGACGGAGACGGAGACGGAGACGGAGACAGAGACAGCGACAGCTCCCATGACCTCGTTACATTCACGAGGAGGTTCGGGGGTCCGTTTTTCCGCTCGGTTAGAATCAGCGGTCGGTCTTGATCCGGTCCGGACGACCGTGCTATGCGGCTTTCAGCAGGTTGTTCCCGATCGGCCCATGGAGTTGCTGCGGCTCGCCTGTGCATCCCGTCGCAATTCAAATCCTTCTGCCTTGTCCCTTTTCTGGGCCTTCCCTTCCGCCACTCACCTCACCTCCCCTTCCCCCCTTGCCGCTCGCCCCTTGCCGCTCACTCCTCCACCGCCCCCCTCTGGAGCGCGGTGTGGCCTTGGCTTTTGAGGCGCATCAAAACACCCGCCTCTCCCCTGCCTCTCGCCCTTCGCCCCCCCCCTCGCTCCTCCCCAGGCCGCAAGTTCCTCGACACGGGATTGGAGCGCGGCGAAGCATTGGCGAAGGACCTCGTGTGGTTCGAGGCGCAGGGCTTTAAGATCCCGCCGCCCAACGAGGCGGGTTCTCTTACCTTACCTCCAGATCCTCCCTGCCCCTCCCCTCCCGCCACCCTCCTTCTCTCCCCTTTCCTCTTTCCCCCTCCGCTTTCCCCCCTCCGCTTTCCCCCCTCCCCGCATCCCCCTCCCCGCTTTCCCCCTCGCTCACCTCTCCCCCTCGTTCCTCTCCTTCCCCTCTCCCCCTCTCTCTCCCCTCCCCCTCCCCCCCCCCCCACGCCCCTCCCCTGGCCACCCCAGATTGCAAGTTTCTCAACACAGGTATGGAGCGCAGCGACATTGGCAAAGGACCTCGCATGGTTCGAGGCGCAGGGATTTAAGATCCCGCCGCCCACCTCTCCCCCTTCCCTCCATGCCCCTCCCCTCTCGCCCCTCCCCTTCTCCCCCCCCCTCTGTCAGACCGCAAGTTTATCAACACAGGCCTGGAGCGTGGCGACGCATTGGCAAAGGACCTCGCGTGGTTCGAGGCGCAGGGCTTTAAGATCCCGCCGCCCGACGAGGCGGGGTCCTCGTACGCCAAGTACCTTAATGAGCTGGCGCGCTCCGATACGCCCGCCTTCATCTGCCATTTCTACAACGTCTACTTCGCGCACTCCGCCGGCGGTCGCATGATCGGTCGCAAGGTGGGTCGCATGATAGGTTGCTTGCAAGGTAGGGCGCATGATCGCATGTTAGGTCACACGTTGAAGGCAGTGCGAAACTCCACGAGGGAAGGAGGTTGCTGGAAGGCCTAGGGATGGTGGCAGGGTATAAGGCGTAGTGAAGATGCACCCCGCTATCTGCACTAGTGTGTTTTGCCATCTTTGTTTCTTTGCTGCCTCCCTCGCCCCCTCCCTCACCCCTCACCGCCTGCCCAACCGTCACCCCTATAGATGTCAAAGGTGCTGCTGGAGGGGCGCCAGTAGGATACTCTCAGACAGATGTAGCAGTCTCTTGTTCCAACCCTCACCCCCCCACGCCCTCTTCCTTAACCCCTCCCGTACCCCTCTTGTCTCCTGGCCTGGCGCCCTTCCTCCCTACCCCCACAGGTCTCGGAGATTCTGCTGGAGGGGCGAGAGATGGCGAGGCGTTCTACCAGTGGGAGGGACCCAGAGGTCTCTCTCTCCTTCCCTCCCTCACTTCCTCCCGCCCCTCCCCTCGCCCCTCTTCGCGCCCCAACTCTCCCATTCCCCCCGCATGCAATGCAGGTGTCGGAGATGCTGCTGGAGGGGCGAGAGATGGCGTTCGTGTTCTACCGGTGGGAGGGTGAGCTGCCGTCCCCTCCCTCAAGACCTGTTTCTTCTCTCGTCCCCTCCCTGCTCCCTCCCTCCCGTACATGCAGGTGTCGGAGATGCTGTTGGAGGGGCGGGAGATGGCGTTCTACCAGTGGGAGGGAGAGCTGCCCGAGCTGCTGGCGGCCGTCAGAGAGAAGCTCAACGAGGTGGCGGAGGTGAGTGAGAGGGGCGATGCGAGGGGAAGTTAGGGAATGGTGGGAAGAGAAGAGGGTATGGCAGGGCGAGGCGAGTGGTAAGGAGAAGCTCAACGAGGTAGCGGAGGTGAGTGGGTGAGAGGGGCGGGGCGAGGGGTAGTTGGGAACTGGGGGAAAGGGAGTACGGCGGAGGTGAGAAAAGCTGGACGGGGTGCGGAGGTGAGGGGGGTGAGGGGAAGTGGATGGCTGTTTGACTGGAGGAAGCATGGGAGGAAGAGGCTGAAAGAGGTGGCGGAGGTGATATGCTGGATGAGGTGGCGGAGCGGAGGTGAGGGGTGAGAGGAGGTGAATGGCTGTGTGACTGGTGGGAGGATACCATTGCATATGTGCAAGTGAGCAGGTGGAGAGGGGAGGGGATGAATGAAGCATGTGGTGGAGGTGGAGGCTACAGGAGTAGGGGGTGTAGGGGGTGAGTCTGCTGCCGCCATGTGTGGAGGTGGCTGGCCTGTACAAACATGTCTTGTGAGCCTGCGCATGTTCTTGCCATCATTGATCTCAATGGTATGTGTGTGTTGTGTGTGTGTGTGTGTGTGTGTGGTGTGTGTGTGTGTGTGTGTGTGTGTGTGTGTGTGTGTGTGTTGTGTGTGTGTGTGTGTGTGTGTGGTGTGTGTGTGTGTGTGTGTGTGTGTGTGTGTGGTGTGTGTGTGTGTGTGTGTGTGTTGTGTGTGTGTGTGTGTGTGTGTGGTGTGTGTGTGTGTGTGTGTGTGTGTGTGTGTGTGTGTTGTGTGTGTGTGTGTGTGTGTGTTGTGTGTGTGTGTGTGTGTGTGTGGTGTGTGTGTGTGTGTGTGTGTGTGTGTGTGTGGTGTGTGTGTGTGTGTGTGTGTGTTGTGTGTGTGTGTGTGTGTGTGTGGTGTGTGTGTGTGTGTGTGTGTGTGTGTGTGTGGTGTGTGTGTGGTGTGTGTGTGGTGTGTGTGGTGTGTGTGTGGTGTGTGTGGTGTGGTGTGTGGTGTGTGTGTGGTGTGTGGTGGTGTGTGTGTGTGTGTGTGTGTGTGGTGTGTGTGTGTGTGTGTGTGTGTTGTGTGTGTGTGTGTGTGTGTGTGGTGTGTGTGTGTGTGTGTGTGTGTGTGTGTGGTGTGTGTGTGTGTGTGTGTGTGTGTGTGGTGTGTGTGTGTGTGTGTGTGTGTGTGTGTGTGGTGTGTGTGTGTGTGTGTGTGTGTGTGGTGTGTGTGTGTGTGTGTGTGTGTTGTGTGTGTGTGTGTGTGTGTGTGGTGTGTGTGTGTGTGTGTGTGTGTGTGTGTGTTGTGTGTGTGTGTGTGTGTGTGTGGTGTGTGTGTGTGTGTGTGTGTGTGTGGTGTGTGTGTGTGTGAGAGAGTGTGTGTGTGTGTGTGTGTGTGCGTGTGTGTGTGTGTGTGCGTGTGTGTGTGTGTGCATGTGGGGGTGTGCCTGTGGGGGTGTGCATGTGGGGGTGTGCATGTGGGGGTGTGCATGTGCTTGTGTGTGTACCCCCTGCAGGACTGGACAAGGGAGCAGAAGGACCATTGCTTGGAGGAGACAGAGAAGTCCTTCAAATATTCCGGCCAATTGCTGCGACTCCTCATCTCTTAGGCTCCGCTATAGTGCCACAGAACAGAACAGAACCAACCGTGTGAACTCAACTAGGTATATCTAGTGGTGTATCAAGACTAGGGTACCTGCAATGTCTTCTTTACATCCAAGATTCGCTACTTGGATCTGGGAAAATGCAAGAAAATGCAGAAACATATCAACGCTCAGGTTCTGATGTCAAGAGCAGCTTGCATGGATCAGAAGGAAGCTTAACTTGAAAGCTAACTAAGCTCACTATGTGATCACAACTTTGCTTTGATATGCCTCAGAACTACATACACATTTCAGTGCAAAAGCACGCCCCGTACGCGCCTCTTTCCATCACTCTCACCCAACCCCTCCCCCAACGCCTCCTAAGCCTCTACACTCCAGTCCAACGCACTAAACCCGGCCTTCTACCAATCGCTTCCAATGCCTCCGCCTGCCGTCGCCCTTCCTCCTTACGCCCGTCGCACTCCGTCGCGCAATAGTCGCACGGCCAGGCGACGTCGCGTACCCTCAAACGATGGCGCTTCGCCGGCGGTAGGGTCGCACGGCGGCGCAGGTCGCAAGGGAGTTGCGCCTGTGAACGGGGGAGCGGGTAGGCTTGATGCTGTCGGGGGAGAGGCGGAGCGGGCGCACGACGGCGGAAGAACCGCGCGGGTAGGGGCAGCTGCGGATGCGGATGCGGAGGGCGGAAGCGTCAGGAAGAGATTGCGCGGTGCAGGGCATGCGGCGGGGGAAGGACGGGCGAGGAATGAGGGGGGCGCGGATGGGAGCGAGGCGGGGAGCGGGGCGGGGCGCTCGGACGTGTCTCAGTTCCTGCGCTCGTGGGTGTGGAAGCGCGAGGGCAAGTGAGTAGGGGCGGAGTACGCGACAGAAACTGTTGGTGGGTGCACAAACGATGCGACCATGGAATGACGGGATGACGGGGTGGGGGGGTGGCGGGATGGCGGGGTGGGGGGGTGGCGGGATGGCGGGGTGGGGGGGTGGCGGGATGGCGGGATAGCGGTTTGTGCGGGGAGATGGAATGACCCAGTATTGCCCTTATCCAGTCACTCACAACCCTTACTCTTTTAGCATTCTCCCCGCGCCTCTCGCATCTCTTTCCCGTATTTTTCCCCCCTTCTCGCCCCCGCGCCCCCTTCTCTCCTCGCCCCCTCGCCCCCTCGTCCCCCCCTCCCCTCGCTTCATCGCCCCCTAACCCTCCCCTCCCCTCGCCCCCCCGCCCCCCCGGTCCGCGCGCAGGCCCGACGTCGACCGCTTCGACCGCCCCTACCAGCACAACATCGCGCGCCCCTTCTGCGCACTGCACCACTCGGCGCGCGCCCGCGCGCAGCCGTCCGCGCAGCTGCAGAGCGCGGAGCCCCCCGCCGCGGCGCACGTCGCCCCCGCAGCCGCACGCGCGTCTGCCCCATGCGCCTGCGAGCAGGCGCGCGTGGTGACGATCGCGCAGCAGCGCTTCGGACCGCTGGGATTCGCGTCCACTGGTATGGCGGGCTTATCGTCTGTGGGCCTCTGGGGTTGAAGTTGAATTGCCAGGGGAGGAGGTGCCAGCCTGCCACGAGGTGGGGAGATACCCATGGGACGTGCTGTGGTGTGAGGTGCCAGGAGGGGAGTCGTAGGGGGCGGTGAGGGAGAAAGACGGGCGAGCAAGGGCGCATGTGCCTGTCACCACATGTGCAGATTCTCCCATCGCCCACTCAAACTCTCCCTGCATCCCACGATTACCCTCCTCCCTCACCGTGTCTGCTCCCTGCCCTCCCCCCTGTCCTCCCCTCGCCCGCCCATCTGCCCGCCGCCCCTCTTCCCGCGCCCGTGCGTGCCGTGCTGCTTTATGTGTGCATGTGGCGTGGGGCAGTGTGGGACAGCTCTATAGTGGCGGGCAAGTACCTGGAGCGCCATGCTCACCTGGTGCACGGCAAGACGTGCATCGAACTCGGTGCTGGCTGCGGCCTGCTCGGTACGCCATGCGCCTTGCACTGTACACAATACATGGTGTGCAGCGGGCTGCTGCCACGGCCCACGCCGTTCCCGCACCGCCCTCTTCCTTGCGATAGCCATGGACAATGCTTTAGGACTACCCTTGCAGCGTGAACGGCGCGTGCGGTATGATGGGATGTGGAAGTAAGTACCCTGCATGGCAGGCAGGCAGGCATTGCGCTCCGTCACATGCTCCCTTGACTTGAGCACACACACACACGCTCTCTGCCATGCCACGTGCTGTTCCTCCGTCTCTGTGGCAGGCAGAGCAGCCTTTTCATGCTGTCTGAGGGTTGCTGCTGCTCCCCCCTTCTAATCCACCTCCTCTCCTACCCGCCCATGTAACCCTCCCTGCTGTCTCCCTCGTCTCACATCCCTCTTCCCCTGTTCCCATCCCTCTTCCTTCAACTCCTCTTCCTCCTCCCGTCCCTTTTCCCCATATACCCGCGCCCCTCTCTCGCCTCCTTGCTGCCATGCCGTCCCCCAGGCATAACGCTGGCAGTGCTGGGGGCACGAGCAGTGGTGGTGACAGACATGCCGGGGAACCTGCCGCTGCTGCACCGCAACGTGCAGGCCAACGCACTGCAGCACGCCGTGCACGTGCAGGCGCTGCGCTGGGGGAACACTCAGGACGCCTGCGCACTCTCAGTACTGGCTGCTTCCGCCTCCACCGCCTCGTCCTCGTCCTCCCCTCCCTGCTCCACATCCCATGAACTAGCCATCTCCCGCCCGGATTCATCCCCCAGATCTGACAACGCACAGCCCCACACCGCCACCACCACCACCACCACCACACCAGCAACACCCCCCAATCCCTCCTCTCACCCGCCAACATTCGACCTGGTAGTGGCAACAGATGTGGTGTATGATCACGGGGCAGTGGCGCCCCTCGTGGCCACGCTCGCAATGCTCTGTGCGCCGCACTCCTCTGTGCTCATTGCCCACGGCCGCAACCGCCAGGCGCTGCCGGAGTTCCTCAGGCTGGCGGGGGAGAAGTTCAGGGTGAAGGCAGTGGCGTGGGAGGAGCTGGATGACACGTACCGCTGTGAGGACGTGCAAGTGATGAAACTGACACCACGGTAGGAGGACGAATGGCGGCCTGGGGGGGTGTTGCATTGAGGGGTTGACCCTGGGGCCTCAGGGTGCTCTGCGGCCCATGCTCCTCTGTCCTTATGGCGCACAGGTGCAACTGGCAGGCGCTGTCAGAGTTCCTGATGCTACCGGTGAGGGTAGAGTGGTTTTATGTAGAGTAGAGTAGAGCGGTGGCGTGGGGGGAGCTGCATGAGACGTACCGGTGTGAGGACGTGCATGGCGCTCACACCGCGGTAGGTGAAGGGCAGGTGTGTGAGTGAGTCACGTGCTGTGAGCCTGCACTGCCTTGTCCTAGTACCAGCAGGGGGGCATGCGCAACATGTGTGTGCATGCATTCTCAGGTGGCTTAGCCATGCAGTATGGTAACTTGGTTGCCTCTGTTGCTAGTGTGGCTGGAACGACCCCTTTTTTAACTCACGCCGCGGGTGAGCATTGGGTAGGTGTGCTGGGCGTGCTTGCAGGCACGAGCACATGGGAGACCACCACCCTGGTCATGGTGGTGTGGTGTGTTGCTGCTGTCGTAAGTCGTTTCAGTGCCGGGGCTGGTCGTGACAATGGAGCGTGACAAAGGCAGGGTACTGCAAGGCAATGCTGAGAAGCCAAGATGGAAGGTTCTTTCCATGCGCTTGAAACTCCACTACCACCACTCGCTGAGAAGCCATCCCTTGCTGATCAATTCATCAAACCGCTTTGAGGAATCAGTTCGTCAAGCAATCGGTTCCTCAATCCATCAGTTCATAAAAATAAAAAAATTTTAAGCGTTTTATCGCTTTCAAATTTGCGTATTGTGAAAGCGAAGCTGACTGTAACGCAATTTGTGCATCGTCGAAGCGCGGTATTCGCCTTCTCCGAATATATAATGTGGGCTGGGGTCATTCTTCCCCCACCCACGTCTCTCATTTTACAATCGCTCAAGTTCAATTCCCACCCACCCTCCCCAGGCTAGTCAGCTTATGAGAGTAGTAGTTCTTAGACATTTTGGATGTGATAGTATATTAGTATAACTGCTAGGAACTGTTGTACTTGAACCCATTGTAATGAGAACGATGCCAATTGCGACAGAAGCAAGCTTTCTCAATATAGCAGTTTATCAAGCCATCGTTACTGGCCTCTCTGAATTATGGTCCGTTCTCTGAATTTAAATGTTTAGAGTGTTACATGGTGGCTTTGCTGTCCCCCCAGCTACTAGAATCTGATGCTGTGCTTTGAATACAAGCCGAGAGAGCTATTGGCTGCTGTACATAAATGACACCTTCAGGTTGCAACCCCCTTTATACTGCAAACTTTGTAAATTGTGATGGAACTAACAGGTTATCAACGTGTTGTGGGAACTCCACCCAAAATGTTGTAAGATGTACAGAAGCCTGAAACGCACACCATCTCACCTCACCGCACTGCAACGTACACATGATTTTCCCGCCTGCCGGTAGATCTTTGAGGCAGGAAGAAACAAGTTCCTATGTGATCTGACGCGAGCTTTGGTTTTGGATGACAGTACGAATCATCATAGCGTTTATCACACAGGGTTCTGTTCCGCCATTTCTTCCCTGGAAGTTCTCCTGCACGCCTGAAGCTCACTGCCACCTTATTGTTAGTCTTCGAGCACTTTCTGTTAGTCCTATGGCATCCTATCAAGTAGTCAAAACGGCTGCTGCATCACTGTTCGAACTTCTCTCAGACGATCTACTCTCCATTATCCTTCGTCTCGTCGGTGCATCCGACGGCCAGTTCCAGCACGCGCTTGTGTGCAAGAAATGGTATCGCATCGCCCGTCGCGCGCACGACCACATCCAGATTCGCGAAAAGCGTCGCATGCGTCCTCGCGAGCTGCTCGCGCACCTCTCGTCGTTCCCGAGGCTCCGAAAGCTCGTCCTCGCTTTCAACAGCATCACGTCCGTCCCTGACTCCCTCCTCTCGCGGATTGCCGACACGTGTCCAGATCTGACGGACCTCCACGTTGATTGGATGGATCGAGAGTACAGACGGGGGGGATTCACTGAGAACGGGCTTTCGTATCTCCTTGAGAAATGCACACGGCTGGAGGGACTTCACCTCGATTGTCAGTCGAATCTGACCGCCATTCCTGCGTCAATAGCCGCCCTTGCGTCACTCAAGAGCCTGCACATCAGCAACGGCGGAAGAATCGCTCTCCTTCCAGACGCGTTCACCTCGTTACAGTCACTTACGGATCTCGTGATTGGAATGCACTTTCTGGAGGAGCTGCCTCAGAACTTCGGCAATCTGAAATTGCTCAAGTCGCTCCAGCTGACCGACTGCATGGAGCTCAGCTCCATTCCCGATTCTTTCGGGCAGCTTACCAACCTCACGCATCTTTCCATCAGCGGCTCCAGGAACAGGCTTCAGCTGCCCGAATCCATCTCCAACCTTTCCTCCCTCGTGACCCTCGTAATTTCCAACTGCGAAAACCTTTCACCTCTGCCCGAGAATTTCGGAAACCTGCCGGCGCTTGAAACCCTACGCCTGGAGGAGGTGGGGGGGATTACCAACCTCCCCGCGAGTATTGGGCAGCTACAGCGGTTGCGGCTCCTCTCCATAATCAACCGCGAGGAGTTAATGTCATTACCTACCTCCCTCCACCTGCCTTCCCTAACGGACCTGATTCTTGTCGGCATGGCACTTCAACGTCTGCCTGACGACGTAGGTCAACTGCCACGCCTACAGACGCTGAAGCTGGACTTTGGCGTTCTCATGCACCTGCCGCCCTCCATAGCCCTTGCCACTGCGCTCAATCACCTGACGCTCGAGAATATCCAGGTTCCACTCCACCTGCCCGAGAATCTCGGGCAGCTAACTGCCCTGGAGACCCTTGTTTTGATCAAGCTCCCGCTACTCAACAGCCTGCCCGCATCTCTTGGGAACTTGGCAAGCCTCAGGGAGCTGAAAATATCCGAATGTGCCGCGCTGGCTCAGCTTCCAGACTCCCTGACTCGCCTATCTTCCCTCGAGCTGTTGGAAATCAGCGACTGCTGCAACTTGAAGGCGCTACCGCAGGCCATGGGGGATGGTCTGCACAGTCTGCGCGGACTGATTCTGCTCAAATGCACGGCTCTCACGCACCTCCCTCCATCCCTCTCCAGCCTCTCCTCCCTCGAAACCCTAAAAATCCGTAATGCGCTTAATCTACGCGGCACCCTACCAGGCGGCTTTGCTCGCTGGACGTGCCTTAAGAAGCTCTCTCTCTCCTCCCTGCCGCACCTGCCCGCCTTGGCTGCGTCCCTCCCTGCCATCGCCCGCACTCTCACCAGCCTCGTGCTTGTCAGCTGCAAGAAAATCACAGCGTTGCCAGAGGAGATCGGACGGCTGGGAGAGCTCGAGAAGCTCAGGCTCTCACTTCTTGACCTCAAGTCACTCCCTCGCTCGCTGGGTCAGCTGCAGCGGTTGAAGTCTCTAGAAGTGAGCTACTGCAGAGCGCTGGAGTCTCTGTTTGGGGATGAGGATCAGCACATAGGGGACGCATCCGCTGAGCATGACCTTGCAGGGAGAAGCACCCTCCCCAGCTTGGCCACTTGCAGCCGTTCCAGCTGTGGGGGATCCAAGGAGAGTGTCACGAGCGTGCTGCTGCCATCCCTTGAGGTCCTTCAGCTTGAAGCCCTTCCACTGCAGCAGCTCGGTCCATCGCTCGGCTCCTTCCCATCGCTAACCAAGCTGGAAATCCTGCGAATGAAGCAACTCCTCTCGCTCCCAGATTCCATCTCATGTCTCTCAAGCCTCCAGAGACTGAAAGTTGGCCATGCCGAACGCCTGCTGGCTCTGCCCGAGGCACTTGGGAGGCTGCCAGCGCTCACAAACCTCCAACTCGACAGTCTCCCGAGACTGACTGAGCTGCCCGAGTCGTTCGGGCAGCTGAAAACGCTTCAGTTTCTGGAGATCTACGATATCCCGGGGCTTACCAGGCTTCCAGAGTCCTTCTCTGGTCTGCGCAGACTGGAGCTTTGCTCCTTGTCCACCGTTGGAATCTCACGTCTTCCAGATGACTTCTGGAAGCTCTCCTCTCTCGAGTACCTCTCTCTAGGCTTACTGCCTAATCTTCGCAGCCTGCCCGATACTATTTTGCAGCTGCCCGGCCTGGAGGACTTGCACCTGCACGGGTGCGAACGGCTGGCTCGGTTACCCAGAGGGCTGCGGCAGATGGGGAGGCTGCAGGCGTGTGTTATCACGGGGTGCCCGCTGCTGTCGACAGTACAGAGGGCGGTGATTTACGGTGCAGCGAACCTGGACGAGGGGGAGCGTGTGGCGGGTGCAGAGAATTGGGGGGGAGAGGAGATAGAGGAGGAAGGCGAGGGGAGTGAAGGGGAGGAAGGCGAGGGGAGTGAAGGGGAGGAGGACGAGGGGAGTGAAGGGGAGGAGGACGAGGGGAGTGAAGGGGAGGAAGGCGAGGGGAGTGAAGGGGAGGAGGACGAGGGGGGTGAAGGCGAGGGGAGTGAAGGGGAGGAGGGAAGCGAAGGGGAGGGGAGTGAAGGGGAGGAGAGTGGGGAATGGGGGGAGGAGGTGGAGTGAGAAGGCGTTGGAGAAGAAGAGGAAGGCAAGGCTGGAAAGGTGAGACGGGAATGGCAAGGGGATGGAAGACGATATATGAAATAGCTGAGGTGGTTAAGGGGTGGAGACTTGGTCAGAGATTGAAGAATATGTATGCATGAGGTCCTTGGTATCGTATCGTTTCATGTCAACTCAAATTGTATTTGTATTGTTGGTGGCAGAGCGACTTTTTTTGAGTCGTGCAAAAGAAAGGGTGTTATGTCAACGTGAGTGGTTTAGGTACTCATTCTTCGTTGCCGAAACGCTTGTTTCATTTCCTCTTCTGGCCATGGTAAATTTGCACCATTGAAGCCTTCACCGCTCTCCCTTGCTGTCTTCCACTCTGCCCCCTCCCGCGATGACATCTCAGCAGTCAATTTCACCGGTTTCACTGCTGTCACGCCAGGTTGTGCTGAGCTGAGACATCCTTCGGAACCAGGCAGGTTTCACGAATGCTCCCCATTCCTGGGCGGCAGTTCAAAGCTTTGCGCTGCTGGGACTTGGCAAGGCAGATGTGCATTGGTATAGCGATTCTGGAAGAGGGAGAGCTTGCAGTGGGTGGCTACGAGGAAGTAGACGAATGAAAAGTGTGGTGGGGGGAGGACGATGAGTGGAACCGAAAGGGTACAAGGAGAGGGGAGCACTGGCAAAGGTTATGAAGGGGAGGAAGGAAGGAGAGGAGCGAAAGTGCGGCGAGAGAAGGGGAAAGGGGGGAGGAAGAGGAAAGCAAGGATGAGGAGGTGAGAAAGGGGGTGGTGGAGAAGCCAGAGTAGGAGGATTTGCAGGATGATGATTACGGAGGCGGTTCAGGTGGCATATCAGCAGGGCTGTGCATTTCAACCATGTGAAACTATCAAAGTGGTTCTCCTGTTTTGTTGACAGAACACAGCTTTTAGTCATGGTTTAGGGTGGAAATACCTCTGTATGAGCTATCATATGAATAAAAACTAGTGGTAGTTACTTGCTAACACCAACACTGCTTTATCCTACCCACCCACCCTCCCCGCACTCACAAAACACACTGTGTCATCTCTGTGAACAGGCCTTCCTTCCCCCCCCCAACCTCTCCAAGCTCCACTCTCCCACCCACCCCTCCATTCGCCTCCCTAGCACGCTGCTGCAGCCCACCCCGAAAGGAACTCCCCGACCCGAAAAACAGTGAGCAGAAACAGCAGCAGCAGCTGGGCCGCAGGTGCATCAGGTGCAGCGGCTGTGCAGCGCAGTGCGGTGCAGAGGGGTGGTTTCCTCAGCGGAGGTCCAGCACCTCGTACGGTAGTCGATGCGGGTGTTGAAGAAGACGTGGGAGGATTGCGAGTAGAGCGGCGTGCCGTCTGCCTTTTGAGTCGGCTCAAAGTCAGCGCAGGTCCAGCACCTCGTACTCAATGCGGGGGTTGAAGAAGACGTGCGAGGAGTGCGAGTAGAGCGGGGAGCCATCTGCCGGCGCCTCGTGTGTATGGAAACCCCTCTGCTGGCAGTTCTGTATCACCTTCACCCCCCCTGGCTGCGACAGCTGGAATATGCCGAATGGGCTGAGGGGGGGGGGAGGAGGGGGAGGGGAGTGGGACCGATAGGTTTTGACGGGGAGGGTAGAGAGAGGTAGAAGACGGAGTGCAATGCGGTTGGAAAAAAGGTGGGGTTTTGAGAGGTGTGGAGCATTGGTGCATCGGCAAGGGGGCAGGTGGGATGTGCGTGGGTGTAGGTGAAGAGTGGAAGAGAGCATGCAGGAGAGAGGTGGGGAGTAGGAAGGGGAGAGTTGACAGAGCGACAGGTGCGGGGTAGGCGACAAAGTGGACAGGAACATGTGGGCGTGCGTTGTTGTGACTGGAGGAGCCTGCCAGTACAAGAGGGGCGAGAACAGAATGGCTCTGGGGTTAGGTGCAGAGGTGAGGTGGGTGAGAGCAGCAAAGAGAGCAGGGAGGGCATACCGGGATGGGTCCTTGGGAGCCATGACTATGGCTATGGCTTCTGGGAGCATCACCTGATGTGGACGAGGGAGAGAGGGTGGCAGGGGAGAGGGTGGCAAAGGAAGAATGTGAGAGGGGAGAGGGAGAGAGGCTGGTGGGAGGAATGGCACCGGGAAAGGTGGGTGGTAGGGTAGGAGCGGAATGGGGGTAAATTGTCACACGATATGTCAGGAATCGTTTAGGGAACGACAAGGCATAGGCAAAGTGGAAGTGCCGCAAGCACATCAGAAGGAAGGAGAATCTGACGGCGAGAGCAAGAGGCAGAGCGAGCAGCGGGGCGAGTGACCTGGTAGGAGTAGTGTGTGTGCAGGTCGATGGATGACATGAAACACGCCTGTGAGGGGTGCGTCTGACGGCAGGCAGGGACGGGGAATACAAGGTGGGAGCAAGACGGGAGAAGGAGAGCGGGAGGAATTCAGGAAGGTGTGGCAGAGGGACGGAGGAGGGGGAGAAGAAAGGGAAAGAGAGAGCGGGCGTAGGAGGCGAAAGTGAGAGGAACAGTAACCGGACAAGGGATGGGGCAGAGGGAGTAGAGCGAGGTGGAAAGGAGGTAGTGGAGGGGCTAGGAGTGGAGCGGAGTGGCGGAAGCAGCACTGACATGGATCCAGCCGAGCTGGAAAAGCCCTCTCTTGTCCTGCGCCTCAAATATCTCCTCCTCGTTCAACGTGGAACACTGCGTATGTGCGTGGTCACACACACACACACGATAGGAGGGAGGCGGGCCGGTGGGAGAGGAGAAAGGAGGGCCGGTGAAAAGGATTAGGGTGGAGAGGAGATGGCGAGGCAGGGGGGAAAGGAAGCGCAAATGAGAAGATAGCAGTGGATGGGATGAGAGTGGTGTGTGTACGAATGAGTGAATGTGCACAGCAGGGTGGCGGAGCAGCAGGGGGGAATGCAAGGTGCGGGCGAAGGGGTGGGAAGCATCAGTGTGGAGAGAAGGGAAGCAGCGAGAGAAAGGCAGCGAGAGGGAGGGAGGGGCACGCACGGAGTCAGAGGTGGACTCCTGCTTGGGCAGGATGAGCGCCTTGATGAAGAACAGCCCCTTCTTCTGCACGCGGGGGAGGAGTAGAGAGGAGAGGGGGGGGAAGGGAAGAGGAGAAGGGGGGTGCATGAGTGCATGCTCGTGTGGGTTGGGTGGGGTGCGCATGCTCGGGCATGTGATTGCAAGCAGGTGCGGTAAGTGAAGGTGTGCAACGTGGAGATTTTGGACAATATATGCTAGAGATACAACACAACAACACACACAATCACAGTGCACACACGCACACATACACACATATGCACGACCACAGGCCACCCCCCTCCTTGTCGATTGCTCCACCAACCCCCTTCCACCAATCCAGTAATGCACATATGCCCTCCACATACACAGATGCACAACACAACGGAGAATACACATGTGCTCATATGCCAGTCCCCCAGGCACGCATACGCAACCAAGGCACCCACGCGGGCAGGCAGCAAGTGGTGATGGGGACAGTGATGGGTGCAATGACAAGAAATCCCTTAGCCAAGAGGCACATGGACGCATGGTGACCTGTGGAACGAGGACGAGATAGAGCGAGAGGGGACAAAGGGTTGAGGCGTGGAGGGAGAGCGAGAGAGGGAGGGTGGAAGGGAGGGAGAAGAGGAGGAAGGGAGGGAGGGGGCTTACGAGCACGCCTCCAAGCACGGCGCAGGTCTCGAGGTTGCGGGAGGTGTTGTGGCGCACTATGCGCATGAAATCGTCCATCATGCGCGTTGACTGCCCGCCCGGGGGGGATGGGGGGAGGGGAGGGGGCGGGGAGGGGGGGGGGGAGGAAGGAGTTTGGGCATACACGGGGGGGAGGGGGGAACGAGGTGTTGTGGTGCATTATGCGCATGAATTCGCCCATCATTCGCGTTGGAAAGGGGAGGAGAGGGGAGGAGCGTGGAAGAACGGGGATGAGGGGGGAAGGAGGAGGGGGAAAGGGGAGGAGGTGGAGGGGATGAGGTCAGCAGAGATGCAAAGAGGAGGTGGAGGAGAGCTTGACCTCAATGATAGCAGTTGGTGAAAGACGCGGTGCGGACCACTCCCACAGAGCTTGGACTTACAGCCCCGCGAAATGCTTGCAATGATACCGCAACAGGAGATGGACAGAACGAGTGAAGTGGGTGTGTCAGGAGTGGCACGAGGTGGGTGGCACGAGGTGGGTAGCACGAGGTGGGTAGCACGAGGGTGGGTGTGCGACTCACAATGTGCACGCCCTTGATGCCCTTCTTTTCACCGCCCTTCCCTGGCCTCGGATCCGCCACAGCAGACGGGTGCGGCTGCCGCTGCTCCATCTGCCCCCCATGCCCGTGCCCGTGCCCGTGCCCGTGCCCATGCGCTGGTGCGTGTTGGATGGCAAGGGGCGAGAGAGACTGCGAAACCACTTGCAAGGGAGCCTCCATGGGAGGGGGGTACGGCTGGTGCAGGGGCGCTGCCACAGGCAGACCCATGCTCCCAGCACCCTCGTACCCATATCCTGCATGGCTCACCGCCCCTGCTGCCCCTCCGTATCCCCCCCCATACTGCCCTCCGTATTGCCCCCCGTATGCTCCTCCTCCTCCTCCCCCTCCTCCCCCCCCTGCGGCCGCTGCAGCAGCAGAGGCAGCCTGTGCAGCTGCTTGCTCAGCCCGGTATGCAGTGCCGTGCTTGAGAATGCTGCGGGGTTGCGTGGGGGAGGCTGTGTGGGGAGCGGCAACGGAGGGCATGATGAGGGTTACCATCTGCTGCCCGTCATACCCGCCGCTGCTGCTGCTGCTGCCCTCCTGCGCTCCCTGCTGCTGTTGTGTGTCCCTTGGTGCTGATTGTTGGGAAGTGGCGGGTGGTAACCACCTGGGGAGGAAGGGATGTAGGAGGGGTGGTGTGCGGTTAGGTGTGGGCATGGGCTGGTGGGGAACGATGAGTGTGGGAAGAGGAGTGAAAGGCGAGCATGTGTGGGGCAGTAAATTTCAAAGCGACTAAGGAGTGCAAGGCAGGAAGCAAGGGGAAAGTAGGTTGGGAAGGCACGTGGCAAGTGTGGCGCCGAGAGGGAGGGGGATTGCATTGCACATGGTGGTGGTGGTGGTAGAGGTGAACGCAGAGATGTTGCATTCACAAGTGATTCTTGCATGCAACAGCAGGCAGGCGCACGAGGGTCATCAGCACGCAATGATGGGGAGGTGGGACAGCAGGGGAGGTGGGACAGCAGGGGAGGTGGGACAGCAGGGGAGGTAGAGGGCAGTGGCTTGTTCGTACTCTGGCAGTTGAATGGGTGATGAGTCGATGTGGCTCGGGTAGGCCACCTGCATGCAGGGAGACAGTGCACGGGCGAAGGGAGAGGGTGGAGGGGAGGAGAGGGAAGAGGAAAGGGCAGAAAGTGGGAGGGGTTGATTGTGTTGGAGGTGAGACGAATAGGCGGGGCGAGGCCGAGGACGTCACGTTTTGAGGCGCCTCAGAACGAGACGAAGGGGCGAGGCGAGGCCGAGGACGTCACGCCGCATACGGAAGCAAGGCGTGCGCGTTGGTGGGCGGAGGGACAGAGTGGTACACACAGAGTACAGGTGACGCGGCGAGCAGCATCTGAAAAAGTGAGGTAGGGTAGAGATATGCCGGAGAGAGACTCAGCGGAAAGGAATGGACAGACGGACGACAGGTATGGGCGGTAAGTACATGTAAGGATGACGGGTGGTGGTGTTGCGCGGGCTGCGATTGCAGGTGCGAGGGTGCATGGGGTGCGGGCATGGAGACTAGGGAGTGCCGTGAGAGGGTCTCGGTGCGAGGCGCTGGCAGACTGAGGTGATGACTGCACACACATGGGGCAGCGGGCAACGGAGAGAGGAGGGGAAAGGGGAGGGCCATCAGATGGGCAAGGGTAGAGTGGCTTGGATGCAGGGTCATGGGTGCTGTGAAGTGGAGAAGAATAGCAGTCGAGGAAGCATCAGCAGTACCGCCAGAAGCAGCAGCGGGGTTGGCAGCAAACCATATTGACGCAAGTAAGCAAGAGAAACACGAGAGCGACCCACCTGCCAGGCTGAGCCGCGGAGGGAGTGGCGGAATATGGAGCAGGAGAATAGGCGGAGGGTTGGGGAGTGAGGGAGAGCGAGGAGACACCCGAGAGCAGGTCCAGGGGAGGTGCAGAGGGGGCGGAGGCAGTGAGCAGGCGCTGCTGCTCCGATGCAGATAGACCCTGCACGGACACGGGGGGAAGAAGAGAAGGGGGGGATGGTTTTGGAATAAGAGAGGAAACAGGGAGGGTATAGATGTTCGGCAAAGGGAAAGGGGTGGGGTGCTGATGTGCACGGTATGTGGCGTGGCGTATGAGGCGAGGAGGTGCGAGTGGCTTGTGCGAGGCGATAGGGCCTTCTCTTATAAAACTTAAAAACAGATTGCTATCTGCCTGCACAGCTCAGCTCACCACCGGCTCGATTTCATGTGAGCTTCAGTGCGGGTGAGCAGAGGAATGCACTCACCACGGACTGGCTCCACGCTTCCATAGGATCCACTGCTACTGTTGCTGCTCCTGCCGCTGCTCCGCCACCCGTCCACCACGCCCCAGCAAACAAATCAGCCGTGGCTGCTGCTGCCACTGCTGCTTGGGCCGGAGCAGCAGCGGGCAGGCCCATGGAAGACGAGGTGGGGTAGTACACAGGCACAGCGCCCTCCTCCGCTGCTGCGCGCACAGCCGCTGCGTCCCCGTCTGACTGGGCGTCTGCGTTGCTGCTGTCATCGTGGCCCCTGCCCCCTTGCTGCAGTCGCGACACCTGTGGCTTCAGCTGCTCGCACTCCTCCAGTGCTGCGATCGCTTGCTGCCATGGGGAAAGGGGGGTTGAGGGGGGAAGATGGTGACGGGAGAAGGAAGAGTGAGTATTCAGGAAAAGGGATAGGAAGACTGCAGCTGGCTTCAGCTGCTCACACTCCTCCAGTGCTGCCAATGCTTGCTGCCACAGGGGGCAACACGGGGGGGATGAGGGGCGAAATTAGGGGACGAGAGGGTTGGGGAAGGAGAGTGAGAGGGGGAGGAGAGCGGTTGGGACCAGGTCACGGAGGCGTGGGGACGGACGGAAGAGGAGTGGCACGGAGGAGGCAATGAACAATTTGGAAAAACAGGGTGCTGGCTCAAGCGAGGAATACGGCAACACGTGGAGTGGAGTGATAGCAGGTGCGAGTGGAACGGAGGGAAGGAAAAGGAAGCGGGAAGGAGGGCAGGGCAGGCAACGGGACCTTGTTGAGCGTGGCGATTTCTTTAGCGTGCTGGGGCGCCTTAGCATCACGATGCTGCGGCATGGTTGACAGCACCATGCTGGCATGATGGGGGGACAGGGCAAGGGAGGGAGGATGCGAAGATGGGTTGAACGTGAGTGTGTGTGATGGCGGCACGGCAGCATGACCAGCATGACCAGCATGACGCGGGGCGAAGAGCCAGCAGAGGAAGAATGGAACAACAGCAGCGGCAGCAGCAGCAGCAGCAGGATGAAAGTATGCTCAACACACAGAAGCAGAGCACGCAGGTGTGCAAGGGAATGTACTGAAGCAGTTGTGAGAACCTTGTAATGCTCTCCTCCACATGCTCCTGATTGTGCTGTGAAGTGCTAGCTGCTACCTGCTATGCACCTGACGAAGCGCACCTGATGAAGCGCACCTGATGAATCGCACCTGATGAATCGCACCTGATGAATCGCACCTGATGAATCGCACCTGATGAATCGCACCTGATGAATCGCACGAGGAAGACATAAAGCTGCAGCACATCCCCCTCGCCGCGATACACGTCTGCCTGGGGGTGGCCCGTGCACAAGCGCACAGAGGGCGCGCGTGACGGCAGGAGAAGGAGGGAGAGGGAGAGGGAAGGAGAGGGCAGGGGAGGGCAGGAGAGGGCAGGGGAGGGCAGGGGAGGGCAGGGGAGGGCAGGGGAGGGCAGGGGAGGGCAGCAGAACGGAGTGAGGTGCATTGCTTGGCAACGACGCGTGTGGAGGTGAAAGGGAGGGAGGGGAGAGAAGCAGGCGGAAAAAGGGCGGCAGAGCAGCAGAACAGGACGGAGCAGAGACGAGGACGAGGGGAAGGGGACTGCAAGGGGCGTGGAGAGGAGCGTGGAGAGGAGCGTGGAGAGGAGCGTGGAGAGGAGCGTGGAGACGAGCGTGGAGAGGAGCGTGGAGAGGAGCGTGGAGAGGAGCGTGGAGAGGAGCGTGGAGAGGAGCGTGGAGAGGAGCGTGGAGAGGAGCGTGGAGAGGAGCGTGGAGAGGAGCGTGGAGAGGAGCGTGGAGAGGAGCGTGGAGATGAGCGACTGACTGACCGCGCGTTTGAGGTTGTGCGCGAGGCGGAAGTAGCGCGTGACGGGCAGGTTATTATCCACCTCCACTGCCGCCGTCGCCGCCGCTATGTTGATGCCCGCTCCCCCCGCTCCCCCCGTCCCCCTTGCTCCCGCTCCTGCGCCTGCCCCTCGCCCCGCCATGCCCGCCGTCGTCGACGCCTTCGCTCTTAGCCTCCGCGCCTGCCGGTATGGCTGCTGGACTAACCGCGGTGAGCGCTTTAGGTGGCGCGGGTATCCAATAATAACCGTCACTGGCGGCAGCTGTTCAAGATGCCAGATGCGAAGATTCGCAGATGCGAAGATGCGAAGATTCGCAGATGCGAAGATGCGAAGATTCGCAGATGCTATACGTATGCTGGTCTGCTTCCTCACGACGGCTGCTGTTTCCTCCGCGCCCGTGCTCGTGCGCCGCTGCGCATGGAAATTGCTGCGCCTCGCTGCTGCCCCCAGCGGACGCCGCGAGCTGCGCTTTGCGCCACCGCTGGTATCGCGAGGGCTGCGGCTCACCAGCTGTTCAATCCGCTAAGACGTGCCGGACACGAACCCCAAGTGAGCAGCGTCCGCGCAGGCATTTCAGCGAGCTCGACGGTGTTGAAACCACACCACACCGACAGATGGTAACTTCGAACACTGACAGAAATTTCAAATCACTAAACTCGAGTGCAAGTTGCTGGTATCGCCCTGAGTAGCAACCGCCTGGGCGGGAGTTGTTATGGGAGTGTTCTTTAGGGCGAAGTCAGTTTATACATTTCTCAAGCGTTTACAGTTCTTGTATTGTGGTTCAGGACGGTCAAGCAAGGTGAAAAGCGGTTCGCGGATTGTACCGCTCTGCACCGTGTTGAAACAAAATTAACCGTAGTAGTCATCCAGAAGGTTGTACAACCTGACCTCGCCCTAAGGGGACTTCGGGGAATCTGGAGGGAGGTTTAGGAGAATTTTGCTCAATCCCGCGGAATCGCGGTTCGTTTTATTATCTCCACATGGCATGCCTTAGATCGCAAGGAACCGCGATCTGTTTTATTGTTCCCACAAAGTTCAACAGAAATTTAGTTAAGCTTTGCAATGCGCTGCCCGCGGGCACACATAAACCCGTTCAAGCCTGGCATGCATTAGGGAGGCATCAACCAACACCTTGCCTCTAGGTGTTTAGAGTTGATAATCCCTAACGCATGCGATCCCTAAAAGGGTTTTATGTTTGCCCACGGGCAGGGTGGTACATGTGCTTAACAAGATTTTCTCTTATAAATTGGTGGCAACAATGAAACAGTTCGCGGTTCCCGCGATCATAGGTATGCCACGTGGCAATAATAGAACGAATCTCGGTTCCGCTGGATTGAGCAAAACTCTCCAGGTTTAGGACGTGTCTCAAATGCGCGAGTTGGCGTGGGTCTAACAAGGACCTGGCAAACCAGCACAAAACCATCGCCTCAACCAGCGAGCGGACGGGATCAGGATGCGTGACTTGTAATGTAACTCATTTCAAATGTCATTATAACGGTGCCATTGATTTCGCCACCAGCCCAATACCCGGAGTGTTTTGCGCGGCTTTGTGGAACTGTTCACGGCAGTGAAGTGTTGGCCCCGCCCTCGCTTGGGCAATGCCGACAACTTGGTCGGATGTAAGGAAGAAGCAGCCGACCGTTCGCAGTGAAGGAGCTGCTCGACGGGCTTCGTCGAGCTGCAGGGTGTCACTGTGGGGCTCCCGTCGACCAGGGGTGCTCGACGGGCAAAGTTGACTGGTCTGGGCGACGGGTGGGCCGTCGACCAGGAGAGGCTGTTCGACCGGGAGGTCGACGGAGCAGTCCGTCGACCTACAGCTCGACCGGGAGGTCTACGGAGCTGCCGATCGACCTACAGTTCGATCGGGATGGTCGACGGAGCAGCCGTCGACCTGACAAGTGAGCATCAGTCGACGAGGGGATCTCGGCGACAACCGCTGATGGTTCTGGTCGACGGAAGGGGGTCTGTCGACCAGGGGGTAGCTGTGGTCGACCAAGGGCACTTGGTGGTCGACCGGAGTGACCCGATGGTCGACCAAAGGCAGTGGTGGTCGACCGTAATGGCACCTGGTGGTGTCCAGGTCGACCGGGTAACCTGCTCGACGAGTTCTGCGGAGGCACGCGAACGTCGTCGAGGTCGCGATGGCGAAGGCGACTTCGGGTTCGTATCCCGAAGTCGATGTGGCTCGTCAGGCGCAGACAACAGCCGACGGATGCCCAACGAGGCAAGTCGGGCCAATCGTCTGCGCGCACCTGCGAGCGTGCACACTGTTGTGTTCTACGGGGCAACACTGGACAGCCGCTCTACTGCAGCGTTGGCACGCCGTCGACCTGCTCTGCTGGCAGGTCGCCCTTCTGCAGTGCTAGCGCGGCTCCTCTACGCAACGCTGGCACGCGGTCGACCATGCAGTGCTGGCGGTCGACCAGGCTAGCTGCAGGGTTGCTAGGTGCCTGATGTAGTCATTCTGTCATTGCTTGTTCAATCATTCTGTAATTCCAACTTTGCTAGTGAAACTCTTGTTGATTTCTCCCGTGAATGCGCAAGCACTAAGGAACTAGGCAAAGCTACGATCACTCCTAGTAGTTTGTGCCAACCCCCGTAGTCTAGCTCACTACCGTTGTAGAGTGTATCTCCAGCAGCAATCTGCTTGTTCATCCATCTGATGTACAGTATCTCATTGAGATCCCGCGGGCAGGTGTCATGTGCGTCCTCATCGTTCTTGCACTTACGCGCCATGGCTAGCAAGCAAAGTAGATCTATATATGTGGCAGAAAAAGAAACAAGAAATGGAGCAGGGAAGAGAGGAAATAGAACAAGTTGGAGAGGGAGGGGTGAGTTCGAGATCCGGGGATGGAGTGGGTAGGAAGGCAGACCTGTGCGAGGGCATGGTGCATGCCTGGTATGGATGTTTCTGGCTGCCCGAGGAGAGCGGGTTCTTTTCCTGCTCGAATCTGGCTCTTCGTAGTGAGTTCAGGTGCACGCAGTCGGGTCGGCCGAAACCTGTTGGACGCGTGCGACGTGTTGGACGTGACCTGGCCTCGTCCAACTCGTCCGCGACTCTAGCGCATTACATGCCAACCAATATAGAATACAGTATTAGCAGTTTTTTGGTGTCACAATACGATTGAGATGTCAAACATATGCTGCATATTGTCTAGGCTGTAGTGGGGTAGCCCATATGGGGTACAACCCAATTAAGGTTTACTACTTGTACTCCTGCATGCTGTTAGTTCATTCATTCCTGCTGCTAGATTCTAACATGGTTTCAGAGCACTAAGGTCCGTAGGACTGTGTTTTTTTTTTTTCGGGCCCACCTACCGCTGCGGTTACCGCGCTACCCCACGTACCTGCCTGCCTTGCCTTGCCTTGTGACGTGCTGCACTACGCGCGCCGTCCAGCAGCCCTAGCGCTGCCTCCTGCTGCCCTAGGCCAGCGCGCTGCCCCTGCAGGCCCGTAAGGCCCGCGCGCCGCCCCTACAGGCCCTTCAGGCCCGCGAACCGCCCCTGCTGCCGCGCGCTGCCCGCACCGAGCCCGCGCAGCCCGCGCCGAGCCGCGCGCAGCCCGCTGCTGCCGCGCGCTGCCTGCACCAAGCCCGCACAGCCCGCGCCGAGCCGCGCGCAGCCCGCTGCTGCCGCGCGCTGCCCGCACCGAGCCCGCGCAGCCCGCGCCGAGCCGCGCGCAGCCCGCGCCGAGCCCGCGCAGCCCGCGCCGAGCCGCGCGCAGCCCGCTGCTGCCGCGCGCAGCCCGCGCCGAGCCGCGCGCGGCCCGCTACTGCCTCGCGCGGCCCGCGCGCGGCCCGCAGCAGCCCGCGCCGAGCCGCGCGCGCCCCGCTACTGCCTCGCGCGACCCGCACGCGGCCTGCAGCAGCCCAGCGCGCTGTCCGCGCAGCCCGCGCCGAGCCGCGCGCGGCCCTCTGCCTCGGCCCCGACCTGCCGCTGATGCGGCCCCGCTCTGCAGCTGCCACGGCCCCGACCTGCCGCTGATGCGGCCCCGCCCTGCAGCTGCCGCGACCCCGACCTGCCGCTGATGCGGCCCCGCCCTGCAGCTGCCGCGACCCCGACCTGCCGCTGCCGCTGAAGCGGTCCCGTCCTACAGCTGCCGCGGCCCTACTCTGCAGCCGCTGTTGCGGCCCCACCGTCCCCGCCGTCGTACGCCTGCCGGCCGCCGCCCGCCGAGCGCCGGCCCTGCTCGCCCGCCGAGCGCCTGCCCTTTCCAGCCTTTGGTGAGCACCTGCCTGCCTGCCTGTCTGCCTGCCTGTCTGCCGGCCTGCCTGCCTGTCTGCCAGCCGGCCTGCCTGTCTGCCTGCCTGCCTGCCGGCCTGCCTGCCTGCCGGCCTGCCTGTCTGCCTGCCTGCCTGTTGGCTTGCCTGCCTGCGTGTCTACGTGCCAGCCTGTCTGCCTGCCAGCCTGCCTGTCGGCCTGCCTATCTGCATGCCTGCCTGCCTGCCTGCCTGCCGGCCTGCCTGTCTGCCTGCCTGCCTGTCTGCCTGCCTGCCTGCCTGCCTGCCTGCCTACCGGCCTGCCTGCCTGCCTGCCTGCCTGCCTACCTGCCTGCCTGCCTGCCTGCCTGCCGGCCTGCCTGCCTGCCTGCCGCGCCTGCCCTGCCCGAGCTGCCCGAGCTGCTGCTGCTACTCCTGCTACTAGCAGGTGGCCAGATGCAGCTCCAGCGACGTTCACGTGAGTCTCTCACGCCCCAGCAGCTTGATGAGTGGTATACTAGTTGGGGCTGTCGCGGTAGCCGTCGTAGCAGTCGCCCTGGAGCTGGTCAGTTGGGGGCGTCTGGCAGTGGCCAGCTGCAGCTGCAGGGGTGTCCATGCGAGACACTTACGCCCCGGCAGCTCCAGGAGTGGTACGCTCAGTGTAGCAGGTCTTCGCGTACCGTTCGCTGCCCGTACGTCATTCGCACAGGTGTTAGGACTGGTCAGCCTTGCGGAACGCTTGGTCACACATAGTCCCGCTGCTTCGCCCGTCTGAGCGACGCCTGGCGTACCGTGTTTGGCGACGAGGCTGAGCTCCCTACCTGGGTGGAGCTGCTTGGACAGAGGGTAGATATCTTTGCTCTTGACTATGATGCTATTCTCACTGCCATGTATGCATTGCCTACTAGTGTTGACCGTGCCTGTTACCTGTGCGTACCGCCTG